GAGCAAGTTAATTTTCTGTTTGAGTTCCTAAGGGGAATGATTCCAGCCCTCTCTGTCCTAAGAATTCAGACTGAGCCCTGCCAGAACATTCCTGTGGTTTTCCATGGGGAAGATCAGTGTATTCATGAAATTTTAGTTGTAGCTTGTGTTTTCCGTGGTTAATTAAAACATCTGGCTTTTAAATTTTCCACAAACAGAGCATAATCATTTGGTCAAACCTTTTCAAAAATGATTAAATACTTCAATCTTCCCCTCAGGATAGTCCAAACTTGTCTTTAGGATACCTTAAAGGCTGTTGTCTCTGTTCATTAATGATTTTAAACATTAGGAAGATGTTTGAAGTTATCTTGACAAGTATATAGCCTTTAGAGGAAGAGAGTGTTTGAGAAGAGGAATCCTTACTGTGGCTTCTGGCCTTTGCCCCTGCAGGTTGGAGCTGCTGAGGGTGAGCTGCTACAGTCCGTAGCCAAGCATGCTGTGGTCGGATCTGCCCAGCCGTGGAACAGAAACATTTGCTGGATGGAAAATCCATAAAAGAAAGCTCCTGTGAAAAGCTGAGGCGGACGATAACTTAAGCAAAATCAGGTTGGTATAAGATAAGAGAGGCTGAATGAAGTGTACGGGGTCAAATAGAGAAAACTTGTTTGGTTTCTTTCATAAGTGTTTTGAGAAAACCCCAAATAATTATTCTCAGTTATTTGTGAGATTCTGAGCATCGTGTAAATGGCAGATATATGTTGACAGCCTTCTGTGTACAGTGTATTGTTGTCTTCCTTTCCTTTCCTTCCTTTTCCTCTTCTCCATCCCGTCTTCTCTTTCATCTTCTTCGCCTCTCTCAGAGAAGAGAGGAAGATCTTTAACTCACACAACCAGAGGTCCCCCATAACAACCTCAATGACTTTGGCTTTCTTTTGGAGAGAAAGCAGTGTCTGGACACATACAGTTGTATTGGTACTTTCAAAGACTTCAGTCATTTGTGTTTTCCCACTGTGAAGGCTGGGTTGTGGAGATCTGCCATTTCTGTGGAGTACTTCTGGCTATGTGCCCTGGGTTTGCTTGGCAAGATTTTACATACTCTTATCTACCCCAAAACAAAAGGTACCGACACATTCATTTTCAGCGGTGTGTGCATTTGGCATTAAGATACTCTTATAGGACAGAGGAAGAGAAATATATTGAAAACAAAAGTGTATTTAAAAATGCAAAATATCCTCACCGGGGCAATGGACTAAGAGAATGAAACAGCATAAATAACCCTATATGTGGCAATAAGGTGGAAAATAATTCATTTTGAGAAAGTATATTGTACAGGGATAGTCACTGCAGACAATTTCTATTGGATATTCAGTGGGTAACTCAGCATTATACATAATAAGCAGTTGATAAATACACATTAGAGGGCCAGCCTGTGGCTCACTTGGTAGAGTGTGGTGCTGATAACACCAAGGCCACAGGTTC